CATAATGAGGACTATCAAATTTATACTAATAAATATATTAAATAAAACCTGAAATGTGAAGTTGAATCATTGACATATAAGCCAGATATTCACAACTTTTTCACGCCATATCAGCATTACTCAAAAAATCATAGGGTCTTACTCAACAACCTCTTAACAAAGCCTCACTTTTATTGGCAAAACTAATAATAGTTTATTGTATCAAGGAGTATACTGATTTACAATGCGAGTTAATGATCCAAAATATTGACTATTCACAAACCAATACAACTTTGCACATGAAACACTCTTTAGATGGAACAGTTCAGGTTCGAAAAGATGCTTCTGAGCTTACATGATGCAACCCACTAGTACAGTCATGCATGCAGTTTCATGTATCTAGTTGTGTACAACTTGCACCACTTAACTGTCAACCAGTGTTTATTTTTTATTTTGATATTCTTCACTTAGAATAATGGTGCCATTTAGACCACTCTTGCAGTCACAACAGTAGCAACTGATCAACACCTGAGAATAACATGGCAAAGTTTAAACTGAGCCACCCATATTGAGAAATAGCGAATTGTGTAGTTTTGAATGACTGCAAAAGTGATTGTTAGTAGCATTATTCTTCCACTTGTTATGAGCATATATCTTTCTAAAAAAAATTTCATCTCTTTGTTATTTTTCACTCATCTACAATACCAACACACTTCAAACTGAGAAAATTTGCAACAAAATCAACAAGGCATCAATCACAACTTGATCATAAATAACATTCCCCTCCCCACTCAGCACCACACACAAAACAAACACCAAATGAAGTATCAGACCTGAAAGAGTGAAAAACCTGACTTGTTTCTGAGGAGAATCTGGATTAACCTTTACACATTGTGCAACTTGAAACACATCTAGCTCCCTCATCTGCCAAAATCCACATCAAACAGTTCAAGTAAACCACTTCAAATCCAGGGTACATATATTCATACTTTTATTACTTTACACGCTTGCTTATTGAAGCAAAATCACATCATATCTATCTCATTCATTTCATTTCATACTATTCTACTTTAAACAATGTCATTCCTATTTTATCTGATGAAATTGAAGTTTATTTAATCTTTCCTTCCTATTTTATTTCAAATTATAAAAACTTTATCATTATCCAAACATGTCTTGCCCTCCTGTTAAGCGGGTTCTTCACTTCCGTTAAGGAATGAATACCTTTTGAGCAGCGACGGAAGCCCCAACGAAATTGGGAATCCGGTGGTGAACGGGTCGTGGATTGTTGGCGAAATTGCGGGCCTCCATCGTGTCCCATATCCTCTTTCGGATAACCCACTTCCAGGCTTTGGGGTCGGCGGCCTCCGCCATGGCTTGCCGGGCTTCCGCGTCGAGCTCCAGCCGCTCCGCCTCGAACGCCACCGCGTCGAAGGGCTGGTTATTCTTGTGGTTGCTGCCGGCTTTCACCTTGAACCACCGGCGAGGATGCGTGGCGAGGGAAAGGGTGCAGAGAGAGGTCGCGTTGTAGACATTGGTGGTGGTGAGCATAAATGGATGTGATAAACGGAATGCATCCATTTTTCTACCAACGTTTGGGTTTGATGTGAAATTATACAGATTTAAAAAATAAATAAATAAAATAAAAAAATTCAAAAGGTTTAATTTCATAACATCGCTATAATTAAAAAAAAAATATATATATATATATATATATATATATATATATGTGTATGTATGTATATTTAATCTTTATTCTTAAAAATAACATCTCATTTAAATTATACTGGGAATAATTTTTTATTTTTTCAATTATACTGGGAATAATTTTTTATTTTTTCAATTTCATTTATGAATTTATTGCTTTTTATTCCACACACCGAAAAAAAAGTGAGTTAAAAATAATATTTAATCAGATTTTACTTACTTCTTATTTAAGACAGATTATTTTAAGACAAAATCTATCATGTCTAAGAAAGAAAAACCAAATATATGGTTAAAATGAATTTAATATTAATATAAAATAGTATTATATTATCATCTAATATCAAATATTTATTTACATGACTATGAAAAATAATATGATAATATAAGATATAGCAATATAATAATATTATATGATAAAACTAAAATTAACATAAATCATATATGTGGACCACATAATACATTACGATTGTGATAACAAAAATATTATAATAATAACAATGAAACAATAATAATAATAATAAGTGTACTAACATTTAATAAAATAAATATGATATTAAAAAAATATTATTTCAAAATATAAATTGTTTAGTTGCATAAATACTAATTTTAATTTTAATGAATTTTTTTATTAATTTATTTGTTATTTTAATAACTATTTTTTAATTAAAATATTGTTAAGTAATTTTTTCTAATAAATTTAATTAAAATACAAAAATATAATCAATAAGTAACAATAATTAATATAATCTTAAAACAATTAAGATAAGGAATAAGGAATTTTAGATATGAGAGATCAATAAATGAAAATTAATTATCATATAAAAATAAATATATTATATAAAATATTTATTAAAATATGTAATAATATTAATTGAATTTAAATTTGAAAAAGTAAAATTTATTTTATTATTTATTAATTTTTAAAAATGAGTTTATATATTTTTTAAAACATACTTAAAATTAAATATGTATTTTTTATATATTATAATATCAAAATAAAATATCATAAAATATTAAAATAATTAATTAATTTATAATTAATAAAAAAATTATACCAATATTTTATATTGTTATACTATATAATAATAAACAAAAATAATAAAGAAACTAAATATATTTACTATTTTTTATTTCAAAAAAATTATTGTGAAATATATTTTTTATTTTTAAATTTCTTTTTTTGTCTTCAATGTGAATAAAAGAAAAAAATTACAATTGTTATATTATAAAAATAAAACTTAAAAAAATATTTTATAAAATGAAATCATAGAAGAGAAGAATAAAAAAAGATAAATGAATGATAAATAAAATGATAAAAATATGAAAAGATAAGGTGAGTGTATAATAAAAAAAGTTGAGATGGAAAAATAAAATATTGAGAGAAGAAAAGATAAAATTATTTTTATATAATTGTAGAAAAAAAGTATATAAAAAAATTGTTGGAGCCTTGTCACTGCTCACCTCTGTTTTAATTAAGGTCACTTTCTTCCTCTACCTTCATAATTAAATTAAATTCCATTTTACTCTTATACTTATCTTTTATCTTTGTAAGTATTTATTTATGATTTTTAAACCTTTGAATATTTAATTTTTAAACCATGCTAAAGCATTATACCTATTTTATTTTCCTCTTTGTAACTGTTTATTTATGGTTTGTAAACCTTTGAATATTTGATTTTTAAACCCTTATAAATCATTTTCATTCTTCTTTCTCCTATTATTCTAAAAATTGTAAGAAACAAATAAGAATCACCAAATGTTTTTAAATTGCATCAAATTTTTACCATGTATAGTATTCACTTAACAAGATTTTTGGTTGAAAATACATTCCGGAGGTTGGGAATACAATTATGCAGATTGAGAATACAATTTTGGATAAAAAATTTTAGAAAGATGACTCAGAAAGTAGGTTCTAAAATACATTTCTAAAAGTACATTTTGGAATGTGTTTATGAAAAATCCTATCAAAAATACATTCTAGAACTCAATATAATTTTCACAAAACTGTTATAAATTAAACAATTTGGGTATCAATATACAATTTCAATATAAAAATATGTAATAAATATAAAATATTAATAATTATTGTTAAAAATAATATTGAGAGTAATAAAAAAAATCTTCATATCTATGAAAATATAACTTTTGCAGGAAAATAGAAGAATTAAAATTTGAAAAAAAATTATTAAAAATAAATATGAAGACGCAAGAAGAAAGGCCCTAAGATGGTGTAATCGAGGAGAGAGAAAACTCAATTATTCTATATTATTATATTCGATTTTATCTCACCATAAGAAATACACCGCACAAACAAGACCAAGATAAATAATAGAATCAAAGTGCTTTTTTTTCAATATATAGATAAATTTACCATAAATATAATAGTTTATAATTAGATCGTGTAACTATTTTAATATCTCCTTCCACACCTGTTTTTCTCTTTAAATGTATGGACTATACATTTACACATGGAAACTAAATTAAATCAATATAAAATAATAATTTTAAAAAATCAATACAAAATTGTAATTTCGAAACTCTTTAAAACCCTTACCATTCTCATATAAGGATTAACTATTTAAACATAAAATAGAATAATATAGACATTTTAGGATAATTTTAATTTACATTGAAAAGAGGTCTATTGTTTACATTCGTCCATTGAAGGTCGAAATGGGGAAGAAGAAGAAGAAAGATAGGATGGGAATCTAAAGGAGAGGGAATAATGAAAATGTTGTGGGTCCTTGAGCATGCAAGGTAGAAGAAAAAAAAGGGAAGAAAAGGGTAGGAGAGAAAAGACGAAGTGGAGGGAAACATGTAGCTGCAACAGTACTGATAGGAATAAATAAACCAAAAACAAAAATGTAGTTTTTAACTTAGCTGGACCAGAAAAGTGAAATGGATTGAGGATACAACAGAAAGGTCTACTTAGCCTGAATTACAGAACATATACAACAATCATTACTCAGCCATAAGAGAATCCCTCAACTCTGAAGAAAGTAGTCACTTGATCCCTTTTCTATTCTTCAAGACTACATCCATCTGCGATAATAAACCTTGCCCCACTACTTTATGTTAGCATCCTAAAAATCTAGTAGAGGCAAATGAGAAGAGAAGACAAATGATTCGAAGAGAAAAAGTAGTGCAGGTTTTTTATCAGTAAATTAGCAAGCAAAGAGACCATTACAATGACAATGAAGGTGACATTATCAGCATAAAAATTATCCTTCCCAAATTCAGAATCCCTTGTCCCTAATATGCTTAGCAAGTAGCAACCATAAAACGGTTTCCCTTCAGTTTTTATCAAACCCTGCTCATATATTCTGCACCTGGGAAAAGGAGATGCGGACAACCGATCCAGAAAGTGGACTTGCATGCTTGCACACAAGAGCTTCAGTAGCTTGCTCCTCAGTCTCAAACTGAACAAGTGCCTGTTTTTTTCCATTCATCTCAAAGACCTTGCTGTTGACAATGGTACCATGCTCTTCCAAAAGGCTTACAATCTCCTCTTCTGTTATGTCTTGAGGGAGGGTGGACAAATGGATCATTTTTGTGGGCGAGCAGCAATACCGGTAGTTCTTCGCAGCATTTCGGTTGAATCGATTGAGATTTGAATTGACGTACTCGTGAGTATCAGCACCTTGGGTTATGTTTGCATGCTTTGAATAGTTTACTTCCAACCGCTTTCCAAACAACATGCCCCCCTATATTTCAAATTGAAAAGGTTTTGGTGACTAGAGCTGAAAAAATACATGATTAAATTGCAGGCAACAATGAAAATATATGAAGAATAATTATATCAAATAAACACAGATGCTTCATAGATAACTAAAGGATCCAACATGAATTCAGTGTAAGGTACGCCAGCACCAGCATATAATCTCATTCAACTGGCAAACAATCCAGTCTAAACAAAAAAAAATTCCATTTCCTACATTTTGAAGTGGGCAGCAAAAACCATCAATTAAAAATACAGTTCAACTGATTCAAATTTTGCATTAAATAAACCAACTTATTGAGATATTACAACCGTAATCTCGATCAATGACATGTCTAATGCTACCATCTCAAAAATATGGATCAATACCAATCATCAAACAAATCAACATGCATGCCCAATAATACCGATAGAATCAAGAATAAACAAACAAAAATGAGAAAAATCTTTTTATCAGCACAATCTCTCGAGAATAAACAGGCATGAAATAAAAATATCATCTCTTATAAAATAGATCTTTCAATGTCAGTACTGTCGGATATAGAGCATACAGGCATCAAGAAAATAAAACCATTACTATATTAAAAATTAAATTACTTATAGACCAAGAAGAGGATTTCAAAGGTAGTGAAAAGGGTTTAGACAAAAACAACTTATCCTCCCTAGCTGAATGATGCCAGTCTAATGCCAAATGGAAACTTCAAGGTTTAGACAGGCAAAAAGGGTGTCGGACAAAACGTGCTTAAGAGAAATAGTTTTTTCATGTAGATATCATGTTCAAATGCATTTAGATCTAATAGGCAGTAGTGTCGATGAATTTTAACATAATTTATATTAGCCTAGTAGTAATCTCCACTTTCCACTAAGGATGTCTTTCAGTAAATCGCTTATTTAAGAACTTACTGTAGTAAACACTACTTATGTATTAGTTGTTTCTACAATAAAAAATGAAAATGGTTAAATTGTTTCCATGTAAGTTGCAATAAAAGAAGATCAGTAAACATAATATCTTCTTGCATCAACAAATATAATGATTATCTCCGGGCACAATTATAACAAACAATAATAACATTTCCCATTAGTAAAGATAATACAAGATCTAGTTTAAAGATATATAACCAGCTACATGTGCAAGAAACAAACCTTCAGAAAATGTACTGCCAATTCAGCTTGAAAACCATCCCCCATCTGGATAAGAGCATGATCTGGCTTATTTCGGAGAAGTTTAATTCTGACAATGTTTCCATAAATGGAGAACAAGTTGAACAGTTTATCCTCGTCTATTCTCTGAATAAAAACAAATTTCAAGCCAAATATCTTTTAGAAAATGGAGAGAAATTTCTAGGAATAGCGAAGAGAGATCAAGGCAATGTACTTACATCAGGATTGAGATTTGCAACAAGAACTGTACACCTTTCGTTTGTTCCAGTTATGCCAGGAGGCAGACCTCCCCCAAAGGCAGTTGCAATTGCAGAAGCATTGGCCATCTAAACATTCAAAACAAATTAATACACCTGATTGATGTGTAGCATATTTTATGTTCAGAATGGCTCATAATCAACTCACAAAGCTTAAAATAAAAACTGATTTTTTCCAAACAAATAAGCTAAGCCAATCATGTATTAAAAATAAATGGGAAGAAAAAATCGTTTGAATGATGCACATCAACAGTCAACTTATAAAGCAAAAAGTCATAACAATATGTTCATAATATAACGATTGCCATTTATCACAAAAGGTAAGAAAATCCTAAGCTGATCACAAAACAAAAAGGCCAACACATTTCCAATGAAACTCCATTTGAAAACATTAAATAAAATATACAGCTCCATAGTGAAGTTACTTTGCTAAAGAACAGAAAACTCAAATTCTCACCTTTGGTAGGGTACAATCATGAAACCAATTATTTAGCCCATTTAGCTTTTAAAATATCTATATAGTAAAGAGATATTAACCACTAATCCATTAGGCATTTATAATGCTACTTTTTCACCATGATAAGTTGATAACTTCCTTGTATGTTTATGTGAATCAATAATCACAAATGCGAGATCAACTTGACTTGAAAAATACCCACCTGCGAGAATCCAGCTGTAAAAAGAAAATAACAAATATTAATCATACAATAATTAAAACAATATGACAAACAAAGCAAACCAACCACAGGAACTTAAAATATGTAGCACCTGTCCTGGCTCCAGAATACATGCCTCCTGCATCACCATATCCAGGCTATTTCATAGAAGAAGATGATGCGAAAAAACACATTAGAAAGGACTTGACAAAGATCCACATGAGGGTTTGATTCATAAATACATTAAGTAACAAAGAACATACTTGTGAAGTTCGACCTTTCTGCTCGGTGGGCAGATTTGGGTTTGTGAAGTCCCTGAGGAGCATGAGGAATAACCTCAGTATGATAATTACAAAGTTATAAAAGAGATAGTGTTTAAAAAACACTAAAAATAAAGAACCAATTGAAGTCACACCTTGAACGATCATTATTATAGTTCACTTGTAGTTCATCAAGGCTGCAATCAACATGAATTAATATCCAATAAAAAACAAATTATTAAAAATAAATAAATAAAGGCAATGGCAGAAAGATGGGGGATTCAAGATTAATCAGCAGCTTAGAAGCATAACACAAGTCTCTAAACCCAGAAACTACAATAGGATGAAAATTGCCGAGATAAATTTAACCTACTTTGAGAATTGAATGTCCAGCTGACAACAACCATCATAAATATTGCGTCCCTATAAATTGTCAGAAAGTACAATCATCAAATAAAAAAATATTATCAGAAGTAACAAACCAAGTAATGCGACAAGCTCCATGTAAATGCAAAAGAACCTGTAGTGTACTTCTGGCAGTAACAGCACTTTGTCGGGATTGATACTGGATGAGAGCCTGAAAGCCTACACAGTTTTTAAACACAGGATGAAACAAGTAATGAAACACATTTACAAAACATGAACCAATTAAATATGATATTAAGACAGTCTTCTTCCATAAAAAAAAAAAAAAAAGCAGTGACGGACCTCACTCCTCAATCCTCATATCCAATGATAGGTGTAAGTATATTGTGTTAAAATGAGAGAAAAACGAAAAACTATGACAAGTTAAAACCCCCAAAACTTAATTTCATTAATATGAAAGAACTCATTTGCCTATTTATCTACCAAAATCTGTTTACATAATGCAAAATAAATTTTTACATGAACCAATATATCCTCTATCTATTCACCCCATCAAGGCCCCCAAGACAAAAGGAAAATCTTAATAGGAAAAGAAAGAGAGAGAGAGGAAGAAATCTGAGAGAATCTGACCAGCTGACTTCTGAAATGTTACAATCTTTTCCACAAATCCATGGGGAGTAAACACTTGATGTAGCACATCCGCTGTTATAGGATACAGCATGTGATGAACTGTAACTAAGAGAATTCGATTTGGCTGTGCATCCAGAGAGTTGCCAACAGCAGACAGCATAGAGAAAGAGAAGAGAGAGAGAGAAAGGAGAATAAATAGAGAAGTTTGTGATAAAGAGAAAGAAAACTACAGAACAAAGAAATTAACTCTATATACGCTATACTTATTGCAATACAAAGTCAGAGAACAATATACATCTGTGATGCATGAATTCGATCTATGATGCATGATACGACATGAGTTTAGATACAGTACGATCTGTATCTGATACGATGATACGTTAATTAAAAAAAAAAAAAAAAGGATACGATTTATAAAAATTCATAAAACATAAGCTATAATCATGCAAATCTAAATTTTAAATCCCATCTGTTATTTACATATAGTAATAAGACTATCATTCTCATTAATTTCTTAAAATACTTCATAAGAACAATTTGTTTCTCTGAAAAATTAATATTTACATGTTTCTATTTTATATATGTTTCTTAAACTTTGATTGAATATAAATGATTTAAAGGATTGGATTCTTCATTGATACGTATGTGTCGGATACGTATTGATGCTTTATAGATATACATATATATTATAGGGGAGAAAACATCAGATAAAAAATAAAGACTACAAACATTCAAATATTCAGTTCCTACCACAACAAACAAGTTGAGGCATACATTATTTTCATTTGAAGAAAGAAAAACCACAAAAAATACCAACCTCATCCTCTCGTGCTTGATTTTGATCCATTGTAGTTAGTTCTTGATGTGAGGAAAACTGGACATACACATTTCTCCCCCTAGAATAAAACAAGAAAACCATGTAAAGAATAATGATTTCTTAGAAACAATGGTAATTAACAATGCTTTACAAATCTCTAATCAAAACATCCAATATCAAGTTATCAAAATATTACCTTCGGTCCTACATATAAGAAACAAATACCTAATCCATAGAGACCATAAAAGGAGATGGTTTGAGTAATGGTTAATGGTTATACTTAATTACATTACTCATAATTTAAGGGATAGTTTTTTCAACTAATGGGTGACTTATATTGTTAATAGCCAATAAATGCATCTACGATGAATGCATGATGAATGCATCTACTTTGTTGGGAAATGAGTCAATGTCTCATTAATAGACTTCATAAATAAATTAAGGATATAAAAGATCATTACCAATTAATACATTTGAACATAGTTGACAACTATTCATTTGAGAGTGGGTTATTTTTCTTTTAATTAGGACAAAAGGTAGTCATATTCAAGTCAACCACAAAAAATTTAAAAGAGAAAAAAAATATCTATCTATACCTTATGCTTGGCTGCACATTTGCATAAAATTGTAAAGCATTAACTGCAGAAGGAATATCTTGCATTTGAAGAAGAGCCTACAAGAGCAATTGATTATCCAAATAAAAGAAAACGATAAAATTAAACAGCTTTGAATTCTGAGAATATAAGGAAAACAAAAATTTAGTTGAAAACATGAAAAATACCCACCTGATTTTTGGCACGCAACATCACAAGCTTTGTTATAACTCCAAAAGGCTGAAATAACTGAAGCAAATCATTCTGCAACCAGATGGGTTATAAATTATAAATCACTGGATAAATTTGAAAACTCATAGCAGAAATTGGGAAAGAATTGTTCATTCATATAACTTCAAAAGATTTGTTCATTCAGCCCATGTCATCTTTAGGTGGAACCCCCCACCCACACACACACACACACGCACACTAATATATAAAGAGGGAATCTGCATTTAACATAAGCAAGCACTAAATATCCTTTAACATCAATAAATTTTTATGTAGATTCGAAGTTATATTTTCTAGATCTCAAGACTGTTCGTGAATGCTTTATGTTTGAAAAGTTTTTCTTTTTCTTTTTTAATAAAATTCCCGATTATATGATCCTATATCTTCTTTCCTCCGTCCTTCATAAATTCTATCCAATGAGAGATAGAAGATTTGAAGAATTTCAATTGATTGTGACAACAGGAATTGCAAATTGATTCCTCCCATATAATCAAAATGATTTGTCTGCAAACCTGCAGACATATATTCCATTCCAATATAACTCAACTCTTTCCGTCACTCCAACAAATTACTAAAGAGAAACATAACACAAAAGTATTGATTGTATGCAGTCAATTACTTCATGACTCATGGAATATGGTGAATATAATTCAATCAGTAATTACATAAAATGTTATTATACACTTTCCAGTTGTCATAAATACACAGTAAATATTTTACTCTAGAGTGGAATTTTGGACTTCAGATTGCTATGGTCTGTATTGTTGAAAATCAATCTATTATCATTTATCACCTATTCTCAAACCAACTTTTTTTATCTTTCCATGACCTGACATCCATAGCCCTCCCATAAGGTTACTGTTTCATTTGGATTGCAGTACTCAACAGATCAGGAATAGTTGATTAGATTCTGATCCCAAAAAGGACACTTCATGTCAGAAATTACTAACAATATTTCTGAACCCATGTTAATTTGCTTTTACCTTGCCCTACTGATAGGAGTTTCTCAGTGTCTGGAATATTTAGATAACACTAAGCTAGAAGAAATATTGAGTGCCGAGGCAACTCAAAACTGTTTCTGAAACAAACCATGCAAACATTTACAGATGTTATTGCCAGAACTTTCGTTACTGACATAATCTTGCAGCTTCCTTTCCTAATAGTGTCATTAATGTTGAATAGAACTAGCAATTTTTAGTTAATACTGTCCAACTTTGTTTTACATGTCCACTACATAAGATAGAAGCCTCGGTTAGCAAGGAAGGGTTGTTTTATATCTAGAGATCAACAGTATAGCTAACAAAACTTGTTACAATCAATGACAGAAATGGAAAGAGTAGAACTAATTACAAAACGGGCTAATGTCACTTTCTTTCCCAGACGAGTAAATATTACATAAATTACCGTTCTCGCCATGACAGTGCTAAAGACAGCGCGACTGAGCCATGTTAAAGCAATGACATGATCATGTAACAAAAACAAGTAACAACTACAAACATAGACCAAAAAAAGAGCAAGAATGAAGGAAATTGTTTACTTCAGATATCTCATGCCCCACATTTCGAACGTGGATGACCTTCGAAGGTTCAGCCATCGCAAAATACCTAAACAAAACACAAATAACAAAATGGAAATAAAAATTAGAACAAAAATAAAAATAAAACATACGACCAATATATCTGCATCTTCTCTCCTGTTTTCATTCCAATTTGAACATGCAACAAAACGCTCAACTAAGAAGCTCAAGATTCATTTGTATGAAAAACCCAATTCACATAAAACAAGATTCAAGCGGTTCAATTTTGGGGCTTTCTGAAATCAACTTCGAATCGCGTAAAAATTCAAACTTTATCTCCTACTCGATCGAACTTGTGAAAAACTCAGATACCCAATTGAAGAGGTGAATCTAATAAGTGTGAGTAGAACAAAAGTGGTAAACAAAAAATGCCACGCGGCAAAAGGGTATCTCCTACAAATCACAAAAAGCAGCACAAAAAGTTTATCAAAATCGCGTCACGATGCCACAGGCTGCAAATCGTACAGAATGAGAAGATAACACTCAGAAGCAGAGAGAGAGAGAACTTGCCTCGAGAGAGTGAGTGAAAGAAGGAGAGAGAGAAGAAAGTTAGCTAGAGAAGGTGTCCACGGTGTGGTGAATTTCTTGCCCTATGTATGTAATCATTTTTAAGCCCAAAACAAACGACCTGACTGACCCAAAAATATTAAATATTTTAATTTTAATTTTTAAATTGTTTTCAATAAAAATTAACTTATTTATAACTTAAGTAAATTTAAGGATCAAAATATCAAATAAATATATATATTAGAGGAACAAGTAGCATATTTAAGCTTAACTTATATCTTTATAATTTTATTTAATAATATACAAAATACTATGTTTTTTTTAAATTGTTCAATCTAATATATATATTTCAAAACTGTCATGTAAATAAAAAGGTAAAAATATTATTTTATATTTAAACCCAACCTAACATTCAAAATGTAGTTGTTAATTTGTGTTATTATTCATGATTTGTTTTACTTTATTTATAATCATAAACTTAATATTGAAACTTTTTAACTTTTATATATAAAGTATTCATTTATTTTAAAAATAAATATAATATATTTACTTTTATTCTTAATTATTATTATTTTAATTTAATTTTTAAAATAATTATTATATTAAATCATTAAATTAAAAAATATAATGCATTTATATCTATAAATATTATATATATATATAACAATAATATATATATATATATATATATATATATATATATATATATATATATATACAATAAAATGCTTTAAAGCATCTTCATTAATGAATGGTTAACTTCTATTTTCTAAGTGCGTGGAATTTTTTTTAACGACTTTTTCAAATAAAAAAAAATGACAAGATAAAGAAACATGTTTAAAATTGGTATAAGTTATTTGTTAAAAAATATTGTTGTTTAGATAAAAACTTATTATTTTTTTCTATCAAAAATTAATAATTCAAATGAAATAAAATAATGACATATACATTGAAAATAAAAAATACATGAAGAGGATGAAAATGACAAATTTTTTTTATTGTATTTCTATTGTGTTTTTTTAAATTTTTTTATTTATTCTTTCTAAAACCATAATTCCCTAATCTTTCTAATGAATTTTTTTAAAACGTATTTATGTTTTCATGATTTAAACAGTTGAATAATATTAGTTAAGTTTGTCAAGGAAAATATAGATTATTTGATAATACAACCTTTATAAATATTAAAACAACATATATAAAAGAAAAATAGTCATCTCGTATTAAGGTCCAACCCAAAAGAATGTAAACAAACAAAAAATAATTCATTATTTAGATATTATTATTATTATTATTATTAGATTTACAATTGCTATTTTGTTCTCTTTCGTGGACAACTAATTATATGTGTATCTTGCATTATATATAACACATATGAGTTATGGATGAAAGCATAGAAGATTTAATTTTTTTTTTTATTTGTGCGTACCTATGAATATGGTATTTTCATTAAGTTTTGTCACCACAGTTAATTATAATATACTTGTCAATTCCATTGCACGAATAGAAGAAACTGTATAATCACTTTCTTGCTACCCTTACCACTTTCTTCTACTCAATATGAACTCATTTTTAAAATTAACTCCATCATTTCCTACCTTACAACCCTTACCACGAATGTTACAACTATCCATCAACCCAAAATCCACAAACCATACGATGGGTTGGATTTTCAAAATAACTCAGTATTTTTTATTATCATGGCACCCCTGATTCTCAAAGGTTATTTGTTGTCTTCTTCTTTTCTACATGGATGGTCCAACACTGAGTTAATACCAATGGTTGGTCTTATCCAATCATGGCTTGAGTTTTTTCAAGCGCTTAAAACACGTTTTGCTCCTTCCTACTATGATAACCTTTGTGGAACCCTATTCAAACTCACGCAACAAGGTATAGTTAACTCTTACCTTACCGAATTTGAGAGATTAGCAGATCACACAGTTGGGTACCTCATCAATTTTTTTAAAATCAGATCGGTCACTGAACAGGTGAAGATATGGATTCGAGGTTTAAAGGTTCAACTGGGTCCAACCGGATTTAATAAAATATATTGTTATAATATAATAAATATATAATAAGTTTTCGGTGAAGACATGGGTTCAAGGTTTAAAGGTTTAATTGGGTCCAACCGAATTTAATAAAATAATATTTTTATAATATAATAAATATATAATAAGTTTATTAGTAATAATATTTTCTATAAAAAAAAAATAATAAAGATTTTTGTCATGGTTACCATAAGTTATAATGAAAGTTATAAATATAAAATATATTAGAGAGTGAAAATGGATAATTATTAAATTAATTATTATTTAAAGTTGACATAATTAACATGAGATAAAAAAAACTAAAATATCTTATATTTTTTATTAAAAAAATTTGATCCTAATTTTTTTTTCTCAAAACCAATTTGACCCAAAAATCTAGCCATTTTTACTAGTTTTGTCTCGATTCAATTAAAGTGCGATTATTTAGAAGCAACGGATCGATTTCTAGTCCGGTTTTCGGTTCAAACAATTAAATCGATTGGTCCGGTCAAATTTTAAAAATAGTGATTTTTAATAAGTTGTTTTATATCTATCCTCAACATGGAGATTCATTGTGAAGTCCATGCCCATCAACCTATTGTCCTCTCTCAAGTTGTAGCTCTTGTAAACCTTTAAGAAGATAAACTTGAAAATAGATGTAGGACATTTCGTGGTAAACCTTCCCCACCTCCGACCTTGACCCCTTCCCCTACTACTCCTCCCACACTTTTATGTCCCTCACTCTCCCACCTCAGACTTGTTACAAAAACCTCTCTATTGTAGAAATTGTTGACCATTGAGAAAAATGTTTGTGTTATCATTGTGACAACAAGTTCACTCCCACTCATTCGTGTAAGGTAATATTTTTTTTCTCCTTATCTCTGACAATGAATTTGGTGACTCATCCTTCCCAAAATCTTTTACCTCAATGGTTGATTCAACCTTCATTGAAACACTTACACCTGACACAAAGGATGCCCAAATCAGTTTTAACACCCTTTCAGGCCACTTAAGCCCTCAAGCTTTGTGCTTTGTAGGCCTATTGGCCCATCATCAAGTCTTTGTGCTAGTTAATGATGGTAACACTCATAACTCCATCCAAAATCGAGTTGTTAAGTTATTGGGTATTTCTTCTCAACCCACTCAGACACTACATGTAATGGTTGACAATGAATTTATTTTGGATTACACTCAATTTTGTCAAGTTGTATCTTTATCAATTTAGGGCCATGAATTTTTGGTAAACTTATATATCTTTCCTATTAGTGGTGAGGACACATTCTCATAAATGTGATATTGAAAAACAAATTACGAAGTTGCTTTAAACTGAGTTCATCCAACCAAGTCAAATCCCTTTTTCTTCTCCTCTCCTTTTGGTTAAGAAAAAGGATGGCTCTTGACAAGCATACATCGATTATCATGCTCTCAACGCGATTACAATTTGAGATCATTTCATCTACCTACCATTGATGAATTATTAGATGAACTTGGTAGTGCCTCCTAGTTCTCGAAACTTGACCTCCGATAGGACTTTCACAAAATTCACATGCATCCAAATGACATTTCCAAAATTACCTTTGAAACCTATCATGGTCACTACGAATATAAGGTGATGCCTTTCAGTCTTTATAATTCACCCTCTATATTTCAAGCAACCATGAATAGTATTTTTGTTCCTTATCTTCATCAATTTGTTGTAGTATTTTTTATTATATGCTATTTTACAATCTCTCTCTTACTGACCACGTACATTATTTAGAACTAGTCCTTTCGCGCTTGGATGAGGAAAGACTATTTTTAAAAAGATCCAAGTGTCATTTTAGGTAACAATAATTAAAGTTTTTTGGGACACATTATCTCTAAATAAGGTGTGGCCCTCAAACCAACAATATACAATCAATGATTGTTTAGTCAATACCTTCCTCATTTGTACATTGAGAGGTTTTCCAAGTCTCACATAATTCTACATACACTTTATAAAAGGGTATGCATCAATATCTGCTTATTTGAATGATTTTCTCAAGAAAGGAACATTTGCACGATCTCCTTCCAACTAATTTGCCTTTGAGTCCCTTAAAAATAGGCTATGACAACTGCCCTGAGTCTCGTTCTCCTCAATTTCTTTATTTCTTTAACATTGGAAAAATACACCTCTGGTTCAGCTATGAGTGTTATCCTTATGCAAAATTATCAACCATTGCTTACTTTAGCCATAAATTATACCCTTCGTGCCTCTACATACATATAAGAACTTCATATTATCACTTATGTTGTGAAAAAAAAAACAATATTTGTTGGGTCACTCCTTCATCATTGTCACTAATCACAAAAGTCTTAACGATCTCATGTCTTAAAGAATCCAGAGTATACTTATCTAAACTGTTTGGATATGATTACACAACCAAATATCGTGTAGGTCATCATAATATTGTTGTTGATGCTCTATCAAAATAATCTGATATTGTCAACTCTCTTTTCATGGTGCTT